CAGGAGGCAGCTGTTTGATGTTTCTCTCTCATCGATGTTTCTAACTCTCTGTCTCTCTCTCCCTTCCTCTCTGTACCCTTCCTCTCTGTAAAAAATCAATAAAATATATTTTAAAAAAAAGAAAAATGTTTTTCTACCACCTTAGGAGTAAGAAAATGTATATCTATCTATCTATCTATCTATCTATCTATCTATATATATATATTTCTCTTTATCCCCCATTGCCACTGTTGGCCACCTTCATTTTCCACCTGCACTACTGCAACATTCCCCTTGCTGATCAATCTTCTGTGGTCCTCTATCAATCTGTCTTCCACAATACAGCCAGAATGATATTCCTGAAATGTAAATTAGATTATGTCTCTTTCCTACTGAAATCCATTTGATGGCTTACCACTGCCCTCAGGATAAAGTCCAAAATCCTTAACTTCTCCAGTTCACGTCTAGGTACATCATGCCTCTCTATCAGGGTCTTTTCACATCCTTTGAGTAAATCACTTTTCTCCACTGTTATTCCATCTTTTACCTGGAAAGTATTACTAATATCTCAAATCTTGGTTTAGATATCTCTTCCTCCATTTCTGGCCACCTGAGACTGGCTTAAACACCTCTTTATGCTCCCATATTACTCTGGGGTCTTTCACTCCTATGCCCACCTGTCAAACTGAATTAGCATGAACTGTTTCTATGCCTATGTCCTTAAAAATGTAAGTCCTTTTTGGCAGAGAATATGTCATTTTTACTATTGCGTTTTCAGTAATTAACACAGTTCCTGGCTCATGGTAAATGTTCAGTAAACATTTTTGGGAAGTACAAACATATTACCTAAAAGACAATAGCCCATTTTATCTAGAAATGTCATATAGCATAATTTTTTTATTTAACTGCTAGAGGCCCAATGCATGAAATTTGTGCAAGAGTAGGCCTTCCTTCCCCTGGCTGCCAGCACTGGCTTCCCTCTGGCACCCAGGACCCCAGCTTCCCTCGTAGCCCTGGCTTCAGCTGGAAGGTCATCTGGAAGGACATCCAGAAGGATGTCCAGTCTAATTAGCATATTATGCTTTTATTATTATAGACTAGAAGCCCGTTGCACAAAGATTCGCGCAATAGGCCTTCCTTCCCCTGGCTGCTGGCACCGGTTTTCCTCCGGCACCCGGAACCCAGGCCTTTGGTCCGGTCACAGTGGAGAAACCAAGCCTCTTCAGTCTTCAGTATTCAGTCTTCAGTCTTCAGTCTTCACTCTGCTCCTGCATATGCAAATTAACCGCCATATTTGTTGGGTTAATTTGCATAGTTGCTCTGATTGGCTGGTGGGAGTAGCAGAGTGACACCAATTTGCATGTTTCTCTTTTATTAGTGTAGATAAATCATAAACCTGTTCATCTTAAAGTTTTCCAGAGAATATGTAAATCAACATAAGAAGGCAGTAGTAAAATGAAACTCCTTACTCTCCTGAAAGAGTTTTCACATTAACTACCGGTTGTCACTTTTGTATCTCCCACCCATATAAAATTGTTATTTTTCTGGATATAAATATCAGATACTTAATTAAATAAATTCAGTACCTACTACAGGACCCAACAAGAACTGTCATTTGGGGCCCAGAGCCAGAGAGATAATCTGTTATTCCAGAGTATATTTGAAAGCAAACTATTATGATGACATAATTTGTGCACTGGCTGTTGTTGAAATGCTGTAGGAGTACCGTGGGTATGGTTTGCTAAACTCTGGAAGGGAAATCAGAGGAAAATGAACTGCTGTATGGTGAAGAGGAATGCTCACCCCATGAGGGAGAAGAGGATGAGTGGTTCCATCTTTAGCTTGGGTCATTACAATGTGATTGGCAGGATATATATTAACTGACTTTCATCTGCCTCTACACTGTCTCTTGGAAATGTTTTCCTACCACCTTAGGAGCAGGAAAAATGTATCGAAAGCCAAATTTTACAGGCAATACTGTGAAATTGGACTTGTTAGTAATGTATCATGCTCAGAGTATTTCCATTATAGCCTGGTGAACTCATAACATACTTTTTCTGTTGTGACTTTATTTTGTATTTTAAACTCTTAAGAAGTAATATATGAGACACAGGATGTAGCCAAGAACTGGAAGAATCTTGGCCAAATCTCAGAGGCCACCCAGTCAGAACTTTTCTAGAACTTGGGATCTGAACTGAGGTGTTTGAATCCCCAGGGCCCAGGCCAGTTAGCACTTAAAGACTGAGCTGTAGCTATGGAAGGGTGTGTGTGTGTGTGTGTGTGTGTGTGTGTGTGTGTGTGTGTGCGAACGCATGTGTGAATGCAAAAGAAAATATATGCTAATAGATACATAATCAGCTCTCACCCAAATTGTCAAACCCTCATCTTTGTAAACAAAAATTTTATATTTTCTATGAACTGTGTGAGGTACTGAATTTCCTTCATTAAGGATCTGATGTTTGCAGCCAGAAAAATAATAATTGTGAGTTTGTGTGTCTCCATGTGTGTGCTATAAAAGTGACAACTGGTGGCCAGTGAGAAAACTCCTGGAAGAATTCACCTCAGAATATATCCAAATTAATGTCACCTGGTGTCTCTCAGCACTCTCCTTCTAGTTGTTTATTTGTTTTTAAAATCTGTATTGTTGAAAACATTATATATGTCCCCGCTTTTCCCCACTGACCCATTCTAGCCCACTCCCACCCCCTACTCCTGTTTAAAGGTGATGAAATCAGGGCAAAAAGAATACTTGTCTCCCTTTCAATCACATATCTAAGTTGGAATTCATGCCACGCACTACTAAAGTTCCTTTCTGGAAAGAACGTCACTCACTTTGAAATAGCAGTTTAGAAAACCAGAAGCTCAGCAGCTATGGAATTTCCTCTCTTTCCTCCTATCCATCCCAGCATCACAGACATGCCAAAGCGGTGAGAAATAAGTCACAGGAAAGAATCCTGTTCTTGGAAAAGGGAGCCTAGTCCAGCAGCTGGTGGAGGATGTGCTCCATTCTAGTGAGACATTTTTTCAATCATATAGAAAAAGATTGTTTTCTTTTGAAAAAATAAAAATTTAAAATTTTAACACTATCAGTACTAAGGTTTATATATGAGTATTGGCTTTTTAATTCCAAAACATATTGGGACTATTAGAAGATTCAAGAAAATGTGGAACCATTATAGACTATTTTTCAAAGTATTTTTTTCAAAGTTCTCTTGCAGATTAAAAATTTTGATGAAGAAGGTTCTTCATGGATTGACCTGGCCCCCGTTTAGCTGACTTGGAAAAGGCCTTAGACACATCACATATTTGTATAATTGGAACCAGAGAGGGAGCCAGATTTTTTGGTGCTTAATGCATTTAAACATTTTTTGGGGGGTATATTTCTAAAAAATAATACAAAAATACCTTAGCTTTGTAAACTTTGTAATAACACATAACCATGTGGACAAATTGCAAGGGCCCCTTCTAGTTATGGGTCTTGAAACTTAAACTACATTAGCTTCATAGTAAATCTTCCTGTGTTTCCAGCATTTTGAAAGGTGCTCATGTGCTCAGTAGAAAGGATGCAAGGAGGGTAGAGAAAGGCATGTTGGTGATGATGAATGTCAGTGTAGTAAAAGCAAGAAAATAAACCCCAAATTGTTTAAAGAAGTGGGAACTCTCCATAGTACATGAAGAAAACACTAAATTCTTAAAAATGTTCAAGGCAAGTTGGTCTCTACTCTCACACATAATTAGATTTGTTATATGTTTTTGTTCTCTTGGTCTAGTCTCAAAAAATACTGTTCTGTTTCTTTATGATCTTCCATGGATAGAATTGGTACAATCCTAAGATAGCTACTTAAAAAACTCTTCATTGCCGAGATGGGAAATGTCCACATTAGTGTTCATCTCTGTGCATACTGCTCTCTTATTTAACCTCACAAACTTTACTTTTGAATGTTATTTGATTGCCTGAAGGAGGAAAATTACCTCATGTACTAAAAGCTTATTATTAACCAGCATTTTAAGGGTTAGAGAATTTAATGGTATTACATGAGTTTTGATTCATGAAGGTATTAAAATGGTATCCTTTTTTGATCCAAATACATTTGTCTTTATTTTTTGTTTATTTATTTTTATTGTTGACACTATTACAGATGTATCCCACTATCCTCTCCCCTTTGCCCTTGTAAAACTTGGACGTAACTTATGAAGTGGTTATATATCCTTTTAAAAAGCCAACATTCCACAAATCACAACATAGAAAGTAGCTAATTATTTTTGGAAAACCAGGGGAAATTTTAAAATACATTTACCAAATGTGAAATATGTGCACTGTTGGAACCACCATTTTCCATGAACAGTAGTTGTGTTAGGTAATTTAATCATGTAGCTTTAGTTGTAAGGAGCAATTTCAGGGGACAATTTATTTCTTGAAAGGCTTCTAAAATATAAGTGGCTGTTTTTTAAAGAAAACCTGCTGTATAAAAACCCAAACTTTACAAAATTAGGAACTTAAGGGGAGATAAATGACATAATAAGTTATTATTTTCTTTAAAAGAGTAACAGAGTTTCTTTAAATAACATATTTCTCTAGTGTAGTTCTAATGTAGTAGGAAGACACTTTTTACAGCCTTGGCTTCAAGCTGGCTGTGCTCTTGGAAAGCCTGTTCTTCACCTCTCTTAGACACAGTTTTTTCTTTGGCAGAATAGGGATTACAACCTGCTAGATTAATTGTTTTGAGGATTTAATGAGATACTGTGTGACAACATGACCAACATAGTGCCTGACATGTGACAATTACTTTATAAATGCTATCTGAAAGTACTGATTTAGAATATTTCTTGTAAGCGGATTTACTTCTCTGGGTATTTTTACTTATTTCTTGGATAAATTTTTTGGTTGTTGTTTTAGGTTTACTAATGACATTTATTATGGTAAGAATGAGAAATACACTTATGCACATTTTAGTGAAAGTATTTTTAGTGAGCTGTTTTTAATAGCATTTCATAAATCCATTTATTAGAAATAAACCCCAGAGCTCACTTCAGCAGCACGAATACTAAAATTGGAATGATACAGAGAATATTAGCATGGCCTCTGTGCAAGGATGACCTGCAAATTCGTGAAGCATTCCATATTTTTACATCAGGCCAGAAGGGAATGGAATGAAGTATACAAAGTGATGCAAAGCAAGGGACTGAAATAAAGAATACTCTACCCACCAAGGCTATCATTCAAAATTTAAGGGGAAATCAGGAGTTTTGCAGGCAAAAAAAAAAATAATGCTAAGGGAGTTTATTACCACCAAGCCAGCAATGTAAGAAATGCTAAAGGGACTGCCAAAAAAAGAATATATAGAAAGAGAAGAAGGAACAGAGGCATAAAGAGTAAAAATGGCAACAAACAAGCACCTATCAATAATAACCTTACATGTAAATGGATTAAATGCTCAAATTAAAAGAAATAGGGTAGCTGAATGGTTAAGAAAACATGACCCATATATATGCTGTCTACAAGAGACTCACCTCAGAACAAAGGACTCACACGGACTGAAAGTCAAGGGATAGAAAAATATTTTTCAGGCAAATGGAAATGAAAAAAAGCTGGGGTAGCAATACTTATATCTGACAAAATACACCTCAAAGTGAATGCCATAGCAAGAGATAAAGAAGGCCACTTCATAATACTAAAGGGAGCAATTCATCAAGAGGTTATAACTCTGGTAAACATATATGCACCCAATGCAGGAGCACCCAAATACATAAAAAAAAACTTCTGGAAGATATCAAGGAAAAGATCGACAGCAATAAAATCATAGTAGGGGACTTTAATACCCCATTGACACCACTGGATAAATTCTCTAGATAAAAATCAACAAAGAAACAGCAATCCTAAACAAATCACTAGATCAGATGGAATTAATTGACATCTTCAGAACATTTCACCCAAAAGGTATGGAATATACATTCTTCTCAAGTGCACACAGGACATTTTCAAAGATAGACCACATATTAGGACACAATCAAAGCCTCTACAAATTCAAGAAGATTGAAATAATATCAAGCATCTTCTCAGACCACAATGGCATAAAATTAGAAATCAACTACAATAAAAACAATCTAATACACGGAGGCTAAATAGCATGCTATTAAACAACAAATGGGTTACCAAAGAGATCCAAGAAGAGATAAAAAAGACATTCTGGAAACAAATGAAAATGAAGTCACAACAATCCAAAATCTATGGGACACAATGAAAGCAGTCTTGAGAGGGAAGTTCATAGATCTACAGGCCTACCTCAAAAAAAAAAAAAAAAAGAAAGAAAGAAAGAAAGAAAAACTGGTAATATGCTATCTAATCCTACAACTTAAAGAACTAGAAAGAGAGCAAGAAGAAAAGCCTACACTAAGTAAAAGGAAGGAAATAATAAAGATCAGAGTGGAAATATAAGACATAGAGACGTAAAAAAAAAGATACAAAAGATCAATAAACCGAGAGCTGGATCTTTGAAAGGATAAACAAGATTGATAAACCTCTAGCCAGGCTCACCAAGAAACAAAGAGAGAGAGAGGACTCAAATAAACAAAATGAGAAATGAAAGAGGTGAAGTAATAAGTGATCCTACAGAAATACAAAGGATTGTAAAAAAAAATACTACAAACAACTCTATTCCAACAAATTGGACAACCTAGATGAAATGGACATATTCTTAGAAAAATACAATCTTCCAAAACTCAATCAGAAAGAATGAGAAAACCTGAATAGGCTGAAAATAACTGATGAAAATGAAGCAGTAAAAACAACAACAAAAAAAAAAACAACTTCCAGCAAATCAAAGCCCTGTTCTGGATGGCTTCACAGGGGAGTTTTACCAAACATTCAAAGAAGAACTAACACCGATCATACTCAGACTATTCCAAAAAATTCAAGAGGAAGGAACACTTCCAAGCTCTTTCTATGAAGCCAGCATCACCCTAATCCCAAAACCAGCTAAAGAAACTACAAAGAAAGATAATTACAGGCCAATATCCCTCATGAACATAGATGCCAAAATCCTAAAAAAAATATTAGCAAATCACATCCAGCAATACGTTAAAAAGATCATAAACCATAACCCAGTGGGATTTATTTTGGGGATGCAGGCTGGTACAATATCCACAAATCAATAAATGTGATACATCACATAAACAGATTCAGACAAAAACCACATGGTCATATCAATTGATGCAGAAAAAGCATTTGACAAAGTTCAACACCCTTTTTTGATAAAAACTCTCAGCAAACTAGGAATAGAGGGATCATATCTCAACATAATAGATGCCTGATTTGACAAACCTATAGCCAACATCATACTCAATGGGCAAATATTAAAACAATCCCCTAAGAACAGAAACAAGACAGGGATCCCAACTTTCACCAATCCTGTTTGCCATAGTATTGGAAGTGCTAGCCATGGAAATCAGACAAGAAAAAGAAATATAAGGTATCCAAATTGGAAAAGAAGTATGACATGACATGATACTGTACATAGAAAATCCTAAAGACTCCATCAAAAACTACTAGATTTAATAAATGAATTCGGCAACGTAGCAGGATACAAAATTAATACCCAGAAATCTATGGCATTTTTATATACCAATAATGAACTCACAGAAAGAGAAACTAAAAACCAATTCCATTTACCATTGCAACAACAACAAAAAATTAAGATATTAGGAATAAACTTAACTAAGGAGGTAAAAGACTTGTACTTAGAAAACTACAGGACATTGAAAAAAGAGATAAAGGAAGACATAAACAAATGGAAGAATATACCGTGTTCATGGACTGGTAGAATTAACATCGTTAAAATGTCCATACAATGCCAAAAGCAATCTATAGATTCAATGCAATCCCCATTAAAATACCAATGGCATATTTCACAGACCTGGAACAAACTCTCCAAAAATTGATATGGAATAAAAGAAGAACCATAATAGCCATAGCAATCCTGCAAAAGAAGAACAACGTTGGAGGAATCACAATACCAGATATCAATCTATATTACAAATCCACTGTTCTCAAAACTGCCTGGTACTGGCACAAGAACAGACATATAGACCAATGGAACAGAACAGAGAACCCATAAATCAACCCAAGCCATTATGCTCAATTAATATTTGACAAAGGAGACAAGAGCATACAGTGGAGTCAAGACAGTCTCTTCAATAAATGGTGTTGGGAAAATTAGACAAATACATGCAAAAAAATAAGTGAAACTAGACCGCCAACTTACACCATACACAAAAATAAGCTCAAAATGGATAAAAGACTTAAATGCAAGGCAGGAACCCATAAAATCTTAGAAGAATCCATAGGCAACAAAATATCAGACATCTGTCATATCAATATCTTTACTGATACATATAGTAAGACAATGGAAACTAAGAAAAAATAAACAGATGGGACTACATCAAAATAAAAGCTTCTGTACAGCAAAAGAAACCATCAACAAAACAACAAGAAAGCCTACTGCATGGGAGAGCATATTTGCCAATGTTACATCTGGTAAGGGTTTAATCTCCAAAATGTATAGGGAACTCATACAACTTAACAAATGGAAGATAAAAATCCAACCAAAAAGTGGGCAAAGGACCTAAATAGACACTTTTTGAAAGAGGACATACAGAAGGCCAAGAGACACATGAAAACATGCCCAAAGTCACTACTCATCTGAGAGATGCAAATCAAAATGACAATGAGGTACCATCTCACAACTGTCAGAATGGCTATCATCAACAAATCAACAAACAACAAGTGCTGGCAAGGATGTGCAGACTTGTGCAGCCACTGTGGAAAACAGTATGGTGTTTCCTCAAAAAAATTAAAAATGTAACTCCCATTTGACCCAGTAATCCCACTTCTAGAAATATATCCTAAGAAATCAGAAGCACTAATCAGAAAGGATATATGCACCCCTATGTTCATAGCGCACAATTTACCATAGCTAAGATTTGGAAACAGCCTAAGTGCCCATCAGCAGATGAGTGGATTAAAAAACGGTGGTACATCTACACAATGGAATACTACGCTGATGTAAAAAATAAAGAACTCTTACCATTTGCAACAGCATGGGTGGACCTGGAGTGCATTATGCTAAGGGAAATAAGCCAGTCCAAGAAAGATAAGTATTACATGATCTCACTCATTTGTGGAATATAATGAACAAAATAAACTGATGAACAAAAATAGATCCAGAGACATAGGAGCATTGAATAGACCATCAAACCTCAGAGGCAGGGCAGGGGAGGGTGGAAGGGGTGGGGAGAGGACTTGTATGCATGCATATAAGCATAACCAGTGGACACAGACAGTAAGGGTATGAGGGCATGTGCTGCTGGGTAGAAGTGGGTGAGGAGAGGTTAATGTGGGTAAAAGGAGACATATGTAATACTTTCAACAATAAAGAATTTTAAAAAATACACTCCAAAAGTAGTACTTTCAAATAACTAGATAAAATTTATTTTTGAGTGTTCCAAAATGGTGGCAGAGTAAATGGAAGCTACACTGACACTCTGCCAGGACTAACCTGGAATTGTAACTAAAATACAGAAAAACCATATTGAATAATCAACTGAATACTAGCTGGAGAGAACCCTGATAATCAAGGATAGAAAGTGGAGACCACTTAGAGAATGGTAGGAAATGCTGGACGGGCTCCCACAGACAGCAGCTGACGTTCTGAAGCCATATCTCAGCTGGGGAGGGGGCGTTCCCACTGAGAACTCTGGGGTCTAAACCCCCTACTTGGTTCCCCAGCCCAGAGAACCAGTACTGAGAAGAAAGATGCCTACATAACATCTGGCTGTGAAAAGCAGCAGGGTTGTTGTTTGCCAGGTAGAAATGGCTGGAAATGCAGACACCCTTTTAAAGGGCCAGTGCACAAAATTTAATGTGAAGCCACTCACCTTGGACTCTAGCAGAGGGAGGATAGAGTGGATTAGAGCTGTGTGAGGAGAATCCAGGGTTGGGGGCTCTGGGGTTAGAACTCAGAAGGTAGCCTACCCGGTTTCCAGTGCTGAGTTATTCCCTCATACTGCAGAGAACAACTTTCTCCAGCAGACATTTACCATCCAGGCAGCTTTTGCCTGAGTGGGTTTCGG